CCGCGCGCTCCCCGGCGGGGACTCCAGCCCGGGTCGGGCGACGGGCCCGGCGACCACCTGGCCCCCTGCCCTTCTGGACTCGGGCACCTTCGCTTCTGAGGTCCAAGTACCTGTTGTGTGGCTCCCCGTTCCTGGGGGCTCCTTGGGGAAATGCCGCCTTGGAACCCGAGGCGTGCCCGTGCCGCGTGCACCCCTTTGGGGTGATCTGCGCAGGGTGAGAAAGGGGCGCCTGAGCTCAGCCGACGCGCAGAGCCCGGGGCGGTGCCCGCCTGGGTTGCANAAATGCCGCCTTGGAACCCGAGGCGTGCCCGTGCCGCGTGCACCCCTTTGGGGTGATCTGCGCAGGGTGAGAAAGGGGCGCCTGAGCAGGCTCAGGCGACGCGCAGAGCCCGGGGCGGTGCCCGCCTGGGTTGCAGGCGCCCTGCGGGGCCCAGCGCAGCCCCGAGACCTCCCCGGGTGCAGGGACAGCCTGAAGTTGTCTGGGCGCAGGGGCGCCTGCCGAGGACGCAGGCCTCCCCCAGCAGCCCTGTCCCCCAGCCCCTGTGGCCGTGTTTCTTAAATGTGCCTTTTTCTCCCTCTTTCCACATACTCTCAGCACCTTGCAGAACAAGGAGTAGTCTGTGGGCTCCGAGCACGTGGCAGGTACCTCAGAAGGTAAAGTCGCTCGGCTTGTGGATCTGACAGCAGGGCGGTTCCGTGGCTTCCAGCCTTGATTCTAATAACAGTGCCGAGGGGTCGTGGGGCCGCCTGCTGAAAAGCAAAAACGGAGTGTGCTTGAGACGTGGGAGAAACGCGCCCCTCGAAGGACGCGGCGTTTAAGGGGCACCTGAAAGCCAGAGTGTCCTTTTCTTCCTGGGCCCGACCTGTCCTGGGGACACAGGCGCCGCCCGCGGTGGAGCGGTGGCCGGGGCCGGCCGGGCGCTCTCTGGGTCGAGAGTCCGAGGTCGCTGCATGATTCGATTCCGGGAGCCGAGCCGGGGAGCGCGGCGTTCATGCCCGTGTCCCCTCTCTGTGCCTCGCAGCTCCGAGAGCCCGCGGGAGAGGGGAGCGGCTGCCGCCCGTGTTGGGGATGGACAATGGGATGTTCTCGAGCTCTGTCATGGTCAAGAACCTCCTGCTCTTCTGTGTCTCCATGAACCTGGCCGGTCGCCTGGGGTAAGTGAGCCTCTGCGCTTTCATTTTACGGGTTTTCGGG